CTATAACAAGTTTTACTAATTACACAACTGAAAGCGTGCTAGATATAATAGTTTTTCGCTCGGAATCGTATTATTATAAAGTACTATAAAGTTTTCTAACTGATGAATGACATCAGGATCGTGTGTTTATGTGTTAAACATCCATCATCTTCTCATCAGTGACATTATTCTAAACAGTCTCTTGGTCAATGCGTGTAAAGAATTTGGACATCTTCTTGGACACTTTTAATGCTTCCAAACATTTTGCTGCAATTATAAATCGCCCATGTCTTTAGGTAGTTCATTATGATGTGATTTACCTTCTATGTGTGATCTGGACAGCGATAACAGGACTGACTTTTTTAAACCTCATAGACAAGAAATAATAAAGTAGTGACAGCAGATAAAGGGAAGTAGTGGAGCACAAGTACAGATACTGCACTAAAAATGTACTCAAGGGAAAGTAAAAGTACACAATTTTAAAACTACTTAGAAAATTACAATCCTGAGAAAAACTACGCTATTACAGTCATTTGAGTATTTTTAATTAGTTACTTTACACCAGTGGTCCCCAACCTTTTTATCATTGCGGACCGGTCAACGGTTGTCAATTTTACAACAGACCGGTGGGACCGGAAGGGGGGGGGGTCTTTACGTGAACACAGCTGCTGCGCTCGTGCATCCAGGTTAATCATGAACAACTCAGTGCGCATCGCAGTCTGATTATGTTTCAATCAAGGTTTATATGCATCAAATACATAACATCTGTGCCAAACATTCCAACTTATTAACAATAATACAACCGTTAACCGTATAGCCGAATTTAATGTATGCATTGGCATGTTACAGCCCAAATGAGTATGATTATGTGAAACTCCATATAGATACATATTGCAATGATTTCGGGTACTTACTTAGCGATGCACGCACACATAACGTTATATGCACAATCCCTAAATGCTCTGCTGATTTGGACTCTATAATACCTTTTTTATAACTTTAAACTATCAACAATCACTACATTCTTCCCGCTCCGTGGTGGATTTTGGCATAGTCCATTTCACGTGAGATGGCGGGAGTGAGTGGAAGAAACCAAGTTGCGGGGGGAATATTTCTACAGCAATAATGTATGATTTCTTATGTGGCCCGGTAACAATTGTTCGGCCTGGTAGTTGGGGACCACTGCTTAACACCACTGGTTGTCTACTGTCATCTTTAAGGTGCGTGTTCATGATTTTAGGAGACTTGGCTTTGAACGGCAGGGGAGGGACTGTGTTTCAAAGATATTATGCTAAATGGTTAGCAATTTGGCTGATCACCTACTGCCCCTTTAAAGTCAAGTTAAAATAATTTCAACTGTTCCACACAGTCATCAATGTCAGTTCCATAGCAATGAATCGATCAGAAGAGAATCAGGAGGCGGGGCAAGTATTGCAAGCTTCACAAACCTCGGTTGGGTTTAACTGTTTCTCTGGATTTAAGCCTAATAATCACAAAATTAGATAAAGAAAATATGTCTATACCGTATGTTATTTTTTACTGGAACAGTATCTTTAATAATATAAACTGGACTCAAGTATGGTCATTACCTCAAAAAAAATTTTTTTATCACAAATAAGGCTAAAGAAATATCATTTAAAATTAAATTACTTCATAGAGTTTATCCCACAAAATTATTTCTACAAAAATTAAAATTGATATTAAGTTGAGAATGCTGTTTTTGTGAAGGCTTTAATGAAACTATTTCACATTTATTTTGGTCTTGCCAATATACTCGACTATTTTGAATCAGTGTTGAAGCTTTTATTGCTCACAATATCTTAAAAACCTTTTCCTTATCTAATAAACATGTGATTTTGGGTTTTTATGTTAAGGATCGCTCTTTAAAAGATTCTGGTTTTATTATAAATTTTATTTTATTACTATGTAAATTTCATATACATAAATCCAAGTTTTCCAAAAGCAAACCTCTCTTCATGGTGTTCGAAAAAGAGATTCAAATGTATATAAAAGAGATTTCCAAGTCTCAAAATAGAAAATCGATTAAAACAATTAATATATGCTCCTCCTTTAACATTTTTACATAAAATGTTTGTTTATATGCATTTCCTGTAAAAAAAAAAAAAAAAAAAAAAGTGCATTACTAATTCTTGTTATTAACTAAAATTGGAAAATGTGCGAAACATATTTGTATGTAATTTGATAATTATGTACCCTCTCCTCTGTTTTTTTTCATTCTCTTCTCGTTTACTTTTTTTTCACTTATTTCATTCTTGTTAAGAAATGTAAAATGATTGTATTGTATTTTATAAGAAAACTGTACATGCTGGTTCTTGTTAATAAAAAAAGTATTGCAAGCTTCTGTTTAAAGTAGCAAATTGGCGTGACAACTTTTTTATTTGACAGCGACATGGTGGAAAAGGCACTTTTTAAAAAACATTCCTGATCACTGCCAAAATCCCTTTAAGGCAGGGGTCTTAAGCTGCCAGCCCACGGGCCATTTACGGCTCCCCCTCCTTCCTCCAGCACCAATTGGCCAACCAAAACATAGATTTGTGAATCACTATAATTGAATATCATTGAAATATATGTCCATAAGTGCTCTACTTTCACTATAGCTCTATTTTTGTAAATATTCAAGGGTCATCTGATTATTATCAGTTTTATACCACCTGTATTTTGCTCTACAAGCACTTCTTCATGGCTTACACGTTATGCTGGTGGTGTAATAAATATGATCATTTTGCTAATATTCAATTCAGATTGTCTCATTTAAATTGTCTCAATGCTTGGACATACACACAACAGCCATTGATGTATTTCAGCCGATGTGTGATGCAAAACACCTTGCATTAAATCTGGTGACAGGCAATGCTTGAAACATAAACGTCATTTGTGTCGTCCTAAGGCGCATCAGTTATGTCAGGTCTCCACTTTTTTTTCGTAGTTGAGTGTTTAAGCAGCCCACCTATGACTTGACAGTCACTGCAGTGGCCCCCTACCAGTTTGAATTTGAGACCCCAGATTTAAGGCAAGTCATTTCACTTTATACAGATTTCAAAACCAGAGAAAATTTATTTTCAAGAACTTTCAAGGTGCATTTGTATGCTTTTCTAGCAACTAACAACCCCGATTAATTACGTTTATATTTGTTGTATGTACATTTAAATCCACTGTGCTATTTTAAAAACACAACATGACATTTCAAGTTAAATAGTTGAATATAGAGCATAGATTTACTGGGATAGTTCACCTAAAAATTATTAAAAATAAAATAAAATTAAATTAAAAGTTCAGTTATTGGATACTATATGTATTGGAAGTATGTTTTTAAGTTTAGTCTCTTTCTACCTAAAGTTGATATCTCAAGAAATGAGCTCACAGTCAGATTTTGTTTGGGTGTAATACTAAACTTTCATGACCAATCGTTCGTGATATTTCATGTGCATTGCTATTTTTTTACAGTCATTGGATTGGCGTTTCAGGTGCAAAGATGCATTCTAGGTGAATGTCTCCTAAATGCGTATGGAGCTAATAATATGCCAAAACTATCTGAATTTGAATTAAGTTAATTTGAATTCTACAGTTATCTGCAGTTATCTACATACCCAATATCTGCAGTCTATTAAATTAGAACCAAAAAAAATCTGAAGTTTAAAAATGTCTATTAAAATCTGACTTAAAAATTAAGTTCCTAAAGTGCAGATGTTCAATAATCAAGTTAAGAAATTCAACATCAAAACATTTTTAATAGCATTTAATCAGTTTTATTAACTTACAATTGTTAATAATTCAATTTAACACAATTCAAATTCAGATTGTTTTGGCATATTATTAGCTCCATAAATACGTGCATGCGGTGAACATTTTGCAATGAAAACTGGTTGCAATTTCAAATTCAAGCAGGTTCAAGCACTTAGTCAAAAATCCAAGCACTTGTCTAACTTTGAAAACACTATAATAAAAATCAAGCATTTTCCAGGATTTCCAGCACTCTTAAGAAGTAGTTGGTTTGTTCAAAAGTAGAGATTTCAAGCTTTATGTAGATCGTGTCTGTGAGGCAGGTACTCGCTGAGATGGTCTATATAACAATGAAGCTGCAGAAACTGTCATAAAAGCACACGTCTGGACCAAGCTCCTCCTCTAGAGAATTGTCAGTCTATAGCAATCAATAACTGGCTCCTTTGCTATAAAGCAGGCCTTCTATATCTGGAGTGACCACATTTTTCTCCATTCATAACTACACAAGCAACACATCTTGTGTTTTCTATACACATTTGAGTCTCGCATTTTAATAAAGCAAATGACAGAATATTTAAACATTTTAAGTCAAAGGGATAGTTCACCCAAAATGATTTTTACTCATATAAAGAACAGAAATGTAAACATTTTGGATTTAACAGTGTAACTTGCTGTGTAATGACCCTTGTTTTCAATGGGAAAATCTCTTATTAAATCCAAAATAAATTAATTTGAGTTCAAAGGCCTTACTGGTTTGGAATTTTGTTTTTGGGTGAACTATCCCCTTAAAATGCACTTATTTAACAAACTTATACCATATGTTTAACATCTTGTTACTTTAGAATTTAAAGCATGTCTTTTTTTAATTTTTAAAGGTTTGTTGTCAATTTAGGGTAATTATTTGCTTGATAAAAATAAAAAATATACCTTTTCACTGTAACAATTTGTGCTTTTTACACATAGACAGGATAAAAATTTAAGTTGCATAGTGTTTCTTAAATGGTAGTTTGTGAATGGTCCGTAAAGCTGCAGTCTGTCAATTTTGCACCAATCACAGCACAGAATCACACAGAATGACTGTTTTCAAACAGGTTTCCCATATTCTCCCAACATCTCAAACAGACCAAGCCCAAAAGCTGACATTTCAAGCCACATAAACAGTGTCACAGAGCCTGTATTTCACTCTACAGGAAGTCATATGTGAGACAGAACACTCAAAGAAATGCATCAAACGACTCTCCATCCACTTTCAGACAGAACTTTTGGCATCTTTCACTCACAGGCATTGGTGACAGCAAAGCTGTTTGCCGTCTCGATGTTGTCGACATGTGGAACCAGGTTGAATGGGGCTTCTGTGGCATTCGGACTCGTGTTATGAAGAAATATGGCCAAGCGGAAAGCTGTATATTCTTGATCTGTGTTTCTTATAAACAATCCACCTGGGGGAAACATGAGAGGAAAAGGTATGAGCAGCTGGAAATAAAAGAGAAATAGGTGCTGGTGTATGTTAATAGAATTATCCGCTTAAACTGGAAATTAAATTTAAAAGCTTGTAAATGTTTTTGTAATCCATTATGTCCCAAAACTTAAGATTTGTATTTCTGCAAAATATGTTTTTTAATTGTTATGCAGCTCAAATTAAACTTAATTTAAGGAAACAGAGTACATCTTAATTAAGTGAAGCATAATCACTAATATTACTGACAGGAAGCAAATAAAGTACTATATAGTAGTAATATAATTGTATATTATTCATTAATTTATTTTCTTGTCGGCTTAGTCCCTTTATTAATCTGTGGTTGCCACAGCGGAATGAACCGCCAACTTATCCAGCAAGTTTTTACGCAGCGGATGCCCTCCCAGCTACAACCCATCTCTGGGAAACATCCACACACACACTCATACAGTACGGACAATTTAGCCTACCCAATTCACCTGTACCACATGTCTTTGGACTGTGGGGGAAACCGGAGCACCCGGAGGAAACTCAAATGAAGGCAGGGAGAACATGCAATCTCAACACAGAAACGCCAATTGAGTTGAGGTTCGACCCAGCGACCTTCTTGCTGTGAGGCGACAGCACTACCTACTGCACCACTGCGTCGCCTATATTATTCATATATTATTTTATATTATTTTTTGTATTTTATACATTACTTTTACATTGTTTTAAAGTTATTATAACTAATATGTATTATATATCAATGCAAAAACAAATCTATAAATTAATACATTTTTAAATTAAAGGAATGGTAGGAATATTCTGAAGTAAAGGGGTAAACTGTCTTTTTTTATACCTGAATGACATATTTTCCTATTTGTCTTTCAATAAAAATCATCTTATGTTATGTTATTATTATTATTATTATTTTTATTTGTTACACTTGGATTTTGTCATAATATGAAAGAAAGAGTTAAACTAAAGCTGTTAAAACATTTCTGTGAACTGAAATAAAGCTGAAATTAAATTACATAAAACTTAAAACCAAGATTTAATGTCTCGACAAATAACTGAAACGTGTTTAGTCGTTTAATCCAAAAAAGGATCAAAATAAAACACCATCTGGAAATTAATTAAATAAAAATATAATTATATAAAATTGTGTCAAACATTACAGTTTAAACGCATTATATATATATATATATATATATATATATATATATATATATATATATATATATATATATATATATATATATATATATATATATATATATATATATATATATATATATATATATATATATATATATATATATATATATATATATATATATATATATATATAGAGAGAGAGAGAGAGATATATATATATATATATATATATA